CACACACACACACACACACACACACACACACACACACCAAGACCACGAGGATAATACGGTGTCCCAGCTAGGCATATCTGGTCCTGACACTGTGCGATGCAGCGAGCGGAGCTCTGCAAAACCTCTCCAAACTGCGAACCTTTGCTGGTGCTTGGTTTCCCCCCGAGAATTCGGGACGCACTTAACCCTGGCACCACGATGGGATGACCGGCATTACCGGGCAAGGCAAAGAATCTTTTCCAAAGTGGCGAGTTTGTAAAGGTGCTTGGCCTTAACGGGTGCGCGTATATTCACTGCTTCGGGGATATGTGCCCCGCTAATAATGCACTGAGTTTTAGTTAGCTTTCACTTCCTCTGAAACAATGAGTCATGTCATAAAAGAACACCGACAGCTTATTAAGAGACCACCAGGCAAGGAGACGCCTGTCCATTTGCTATTATTCCACGTGAATATGTTTCCTTCTTGTGCCGTTACAAGTGCTTTTAAAGGGTGCAAAATAAAGAAAAACTCGCTTCTTTTTTTTGCTATCAGACACACCACCAACTTCATCTCCTCATGGCAAAGTCATGTGGATCGGGGGATCCCAACAACTACTGTTTCGTAAGTCTCTGAAAAGCAGTGTGATTCCATCTCCCTTCTGTTGCCGTGTGTGCTCGCACTGTAGTTGAGGGATACCTGCAAGTTATTTCCTTCCTCTTCTGCCTCTTTCTTTCTCTCATTATAGATCCAAGAACACGGCGAATTCACAGCGCATATTTCCATTGACAGATCTGTGGAGAATACAGACGCAAGCAAGCAGAACCGTGCCTTCTCGAACGACGCTCCTCCTCCTCTTGCGCAGGGACATCTGTCTGTCGAATCCCAACGAACATTTGGAGGCTTCACCATCCAGTCCGATAACGTGGTTTTGGCCGAAGAGCGTAACAGATTGGCGGCAGAGGTGTCAGCACAGAAGAATAAAAATACAAAGTTACAGGAGGAACTGAATAGACGGTGACGCTTAGGTGACACCGAATTGAAAGCTTGTGCCATTGGCAGTATAAAATTCCTCCCCACGGGGGAACAGTGTGGCATGTGCGAGATTCATATTGATGGGAAGGTGCTTGGAGACGACGACCTCAAGGCTCTCCACACATCACAAGCGCTTACCCGAATAAACATTTCCAAGTGCAGTGGCGTCTGTGACGTGAAGCTTCTAGCCGACTTGAAGGGACTACAAGAGCTGCACTTGGAAGTTGATGGTGATATACGGAACATCAACTTGCTCAGTCAACTACCAGAGCTGAGAAAGCTATCACTGATCAACACAAAAATACAGGATAGCGATGTGCGTTGTCTGGGCCTCATCCAAAAATTGGAGGAACTCTCTCTTCGAAACTGTTCCCGGGTGACAAGCTGTCAGTGTATCAGTCAAATATCACTCCTTCGGGTGCTTGATCTAAGCTTTACCGGGGTCACCGATGAAGGACTGATGGGCCTCAGCGCGAGTCGCAGTCTTGTGAAGATTGTGCTCTGGAGCTGCAAGGACCTTACAGATGTGTCTCCTCTCGCATCCATCGAGACACTGGAAGAGGTGGATCTCTCTGGGTGCGATGGTCTGAAGAATATTGGTGCCCTTGGCAGGCTGCCTGTCCTGCGTGAGCTTGACTTGAGATGCACTGCTATTACAGACGAGGAGTTGAAGCGTCTCAGTGCGAGTTGCAGTCTTATGAAGATTGTGCTCCAACACTGCAGGTACCTTACAGATGTGTCTCCTCTCGCATCCATCGAGACACTGGAAGATGTAAAGCTATATGGGTGTGAAGGAGTGGAGAGCTTTGGTGCCCTTGGGAGTCTGCCTGTCCTGCGTGTGCTTGATTTGGAATACACCGCTATTACCGACGAGGAGTTGGAGGCTCTAAGTGGGAGTCGCAGTCTTGTGAAGATTGTGCTCCAACACTGCAGGCGCCTTACAGATGTGTCTCCTCTCGCAT